GAATTATCGGAAATACTCAAGTTTATGTACCCTGGTGTGACGTTATTTGATGAACTGAATTTGTCCCAATTCAATAGGTTGGAAATTGAAGAATATGAAATGCAGCTGAATCATTTCCAATCTAGTTCAATATGGAATCAAAAATTTGTTGAAACAAGGAAAGAGTTAGAAATAATTGAAACAGAAAGATTGACAGGCAATACAAGTGAAAATGCTAATAACAAAATTTTGGAAGCATGGAATGCGTTACCAAACACATTGAATTATTTGAAGAAGCTGGCATATGATATTTTAATAATGTTTTCATCAACCTATGCCTCCGAGTCATTACTTTTAGAGATTAATAACATCAAAAACTCACAGTTACAAACCGTTTGGTAGATGACTCCAGTTCAGCATGAATTCTGCTAAAATTAACATCTTACAACCCTAACATAAGTTATTTGTCATCTAATCTGCAAAAACAGAAGTCACACTAATTTTACTTTAATTTAAATTACACGTATAATTTAAACATTGCAAAATGTTCCTATTTTCTAGTTCAATATGATTCAAAAAGTTGTTGGAACAAGAAAGAGTTAGAAATAATAGAAACAGAGAGACTGACGGTTAATACAAGTGAAAATGCTAATAACAAAATTTTGGAAACATGGAATGCAATCACAAACACATTTAATTTTTTTAAAAAGCTGGAATACGATATTTTAATAACGTTTTCATCAACCTATGCCTGCGAGTCATCATTTTCAGAGATTAATAACATCAAAAACTCGCAGTTACAGACCGTTTGGTAGATGACTCCAGTTCAGCATGCATTCTGCTAAAATTAACATCTTACAACCCTAACATAAGTTATTTGTCATCTAATCTGCAAAAACAGAAGTCACACTAATTTTACTTTAATTTAAATTACACGTATAATTTAAACATTGCAAAATGTTCCTATTTTCTTGTAGAATTTTGAGTTGATATTATTTATTATCATTATTTTCCCAATAANTTTTCTTGGTTTGTCAACATTTTACAAAACTGCAGAAATGGAATAACCCTTCTCATGTAGAAATCAGATCCAAATGATAATCATCTACAAAGCCAACTTCGATATTTTGTCCCAGGTTGGCTTGCCATAAAATTACATAAGGATAAACATTTGACAATGGTCACCAGGCGATATATTTCTTAAAGTAATTTAAATTGAAAACAATAGTTCACTTAATAACGGTTAATAGTCATCTTAAACCTTACAGTTTTTAAATCAGTTGTTATGTTTACTCGCGTAATTTCTTCCCATAATTCATCAGATAAAATATTTCACAACCGTGCGTATCATTTCAAATACGAACGTTATTAAAAAAAAAAAATACAACGTGTAATTATACAACACGCTACTGAAGTGAAACTTCTTTAAACACACAAACAAACCGGGATAGGGGTTAAAGAATTGGTTTAATGGTATTATTTGTACACTATGTTTCGCACGGGTGTAATGGTGATAGTAAATATACTACAGAATGTCTTTATATACAACAATCACAGCTTTTTTGCCATTAGACAATACAAACCGGCGGTACCGCCGCAACTGCTATGCCTCTGCATTTTAAGTCTGTAATATCTTCGAAAATATTTATTTAAACTTGTTAAAAAGGCTAGGATCGTAGTTCAAGAAACGCGGGCACACAATTTAGCAAGATTTATTGAACACAACACAAGAGAACGATTTGACTAGAATTAGTAATAAAAAGTAAACAACAACTGTTACTAGTAACAACAATAATAGAGACAAATAACTAGAGGGCGGTTCGATTTGAAAATAGAAATAAAATACTGATTTAACAACAGTATTGTATGAAAATAAATAAAAGTAAAAGAAAAACACTGATAACAAAGGGGAAAAGGTAGGGAAAAAGTGAATATAAAGGTAGGAGACGAAAAATTAGAAGAAGATACGTTTTGAATCCTACTAATAGAAGCTCCTTCACGTTAACCGTAACTGAACCTGAATTTTTAAAAAAATTTTTCAAACTTTTGGGTGTTTCATTCCTGCTAGCTACTATGTGGGCGGAAGAGAGGGCAAAAAACCTAGGCGGGTGGCGGTAGGTGTAAGAAACATGAGACGAACAAAATGAAAACAGAAGGGAGTCAAAGATTATCTGTGAAATATTATTCTTACTGCCTCAACATTTGGCAAAAGATCGCAAACAACTACTTCTTGTCTTTAATACAAAACTACAAGGCTACATAATTAACACTATGAGTCCATAACTTCCGCTTGCAATTATTGCAACGTAAAAGAAAGCAATACATACATTAACGTGTTTTGTTATTTATACAAGTTCACTATTTTCTTTAATACTTCATAAATTGTATGCTAGTTTGATAGCTTAAGTGAATAATGATAAATAAATTCCTTTTTCAATTATAAGTTGGTTCACGTCCAGACTTTTAACAGCGCAAAGTTGCTTTATTTATTTCGTTACTATCGGTTCAGATTTATTTTTATTTCACTAACCTATCCACGCAAAAACTAACCGAGATGTATGTACTCTATTAGGTGAATCACGCAGATATATCTTCTACTAATGATCTAGATAATTTGCAAGCCATACAGAAATGTTAAAAAATAACAGTGTGCTACAAGGTTGTTCTGTACAATAAACAGCCGTAACTTTCCAAGGGCAAAATCTTTTAAATATTTTTAATAACGATTTTGAATACGCAATTATTGTGCACTGATTTCTCGAAGAAAATTGCGTAAAAACTGGTACAATTATTTCCCTTTACCCAAAACAATTCAAACGCTCGTAATAACCTTAGAGCCACAAGCTTGGATTATAAATTATTTATTGATTCCACTATAATTATTTCATTAAACAGTAACGTTTTCAGATAGAAGAAATACAAATACATATGTACTAAAATTGTGGAATTAAAAAATAGATACTAAACTGCGGCTAATCTTCACCTATATTTTGAAATCTATAAGAGAAAATCAACCCAACTCAACCAATAGCTAACCAAATAAACCTAACATAAGTTATTGTTGCTATAACCTTATGATAAACTATCAAAGCATTACCCTCTAGGGCAGTGTTTCCCAACCTTTTTTTCCTCGCGAACCAAAAGAAAGGCCCGAAAAAAATTGACGAACCCCCTATGTAGCCGTTAATGACAGGTAAAAGAAAGCAATAAAATTTGATAGAATATATAGTGAAGAATAATTGATTATATTAATCGTGAAACATTTAAATATAACATTAATAAGATTAAAATGATGGCTATAAACTGTGAAAACGAGATAAATTTAGCAAACTGGTTCTTATGTTTTACATTTGGAAAAACACTTAATGGGATATTTGTGGCTATTTGATAGAACAAAGCAATTCAAAGTTAGGTTCAATATCTGACAATTTCAGTCTTAGATCAGGTTCTGCATTTAACGTTTCAGTACTATCATCTCGTTTATCATGTCTCGTTTCTAAACGGCTCCTTCTTAACCATCGATCCATAATAAAAGTATGCTATAATAATAATTAAATTAATAATTATTAAATCATTTACACGAGAACTTGACAGTCACAGTATCACTATCACTCAAGCTTTAATAGTGCTAAGCCTATGTATTGACGAAAATATTGAAATTTATTATCTGTAGATTTCTTAACAAACAGGCAGCGAACAATCTGTTTTACAGTGGGTGTGTTCTTTAATTTTTGTGTTTTTGTTTTGTTTTTGTTTTGCTTTTGATTTTAATGGCGTTTTAAAAAATCCGCCATTACAATATTATTTTCGCGAACCCCCTCTGCAAACACTGCGAACCCCCAGGGGTTCGCGAACCACCGGTTGGGAATCACTGCTCTAGGGTAATGTTACATTGCGGTAAGCAAAAACAAGACCCACGAAGTTTTAATTGATTCGGCGAACTATATGGTTTGAGTTGGTTGTTTTACTTGCTTTTTTACAAATCTCCACAACCATGCAAACGAATGGTTTTCTCGTTCAACTTAAAGGTGACAAAATCGATGACACGTATACTAACCAAAACTTTTACCAAACTTTGCCGTTATTTTGAAGATTTAAGCAAAACCTATCTGACAATATTTAAAAATTTAAAATACAATTTTTCAAAAGTACAAGTTTGTTGTTCTTTCATTGCAGCTAATTCCCCCCCCCCCCTAATGAAAGGTTATCAGTCCCAAGACTGATTGGACACGCATCTCTACTCTTTCCTATCCTGAGCTAATCTTCGCATTTCTTTAAAACTTGAACATCCCACATCCTCAAATATCCCTCTTAACTCATGCTTCTGCTTCCAATATGTCTATAAACTAGCCCTTTATGCCTGAGAGCACTCCTACGAACCTATTTTCTTACTTTCTCTATCCACACGGTACCTCATTATTCGTTTGTAACACAACATTTCGAACGCTTGTAACCTGTATATTATTAAAACAATTTTGGATGTTATTAATCTCTACTTCATATGAGCACCTGATGATCTATAATAGAATATAACACGACACTACATGCAATTTACTATACAGTCATCGAATTATGACTTTATTTACCTAGAAAGATTAATATTCATTGTGGGATAAATTATAACAGCGGGCAACGTAAAAATATTCTGGTCGTTTTACAAGAGACTGGGTTGAACTTTTTACACATCATTATGAAAAATACATCAGCTTTAGATCTAAATTAAGTACCTGCTATTCATATCTGTTTCTCTTACATCAATTGTTTCCCAATAAACATCAGAACTAACTAACTTAACGCAAAAGTACGTAATACTGAAGCATTTTGAAGTCTCAGTTGAACGACGTCGAGCATTAAAATTTAATTAACATCCAGCTCGCAGACGCTACTAATTATGTAGGTATAATTAAATAAAGAAATAGTACACTGACAAAGGAGTTATATTTTTATGAATAAAAGGAGACGGTTTTTTGTCCTTAAAAAAAGAACTATACTGCAATCGATATTTTTTTTATTTCTCGCAGGCACAAGGAGAAGGACCGACTACGCGACAAATCAACAAAGAAGAAACAACGTGAAGATGGTATAACGGTAATTTCTCGGATGCATAGTCACGACTCCTCGACAACTAGTAAAAATCGTTCGTCTTCGATGGATAGCAGCAGTTCACAGTACGACAACTTGGACAGTTCACGAACTCAAAATGACTCCAGTAGAAAAGAATCTTACGCCTCTGAAGCGGATGGCGTTATCAGAGCTAGTTTAACTATTCCTGTTCAGCAAGGTAAGAGTAATTGACTAAAGGCCGTAAAAATACTAAACAATCTACAAAGTGTTCGAACACACAGTCCAACAAAATCAGAAATTAAAATAAAAAACCATAAGAATGCTTCAAGATTTTGAGAATAAAACGCTTTTTGTTGATTAATATTTTGATGTATCCTAATCTCAAAATGGTGCTTAATTGGTTTTACTTTAATATTTCTCTAATTTACAATAAGCAAGGGTACTTCTGAGGTCAAGCTGGAATTTACCGTTTAAATATATTTCGAAAATTATGAAAAAAGCTCTCCTTTCAGAAGACACTACAACACTAAATTCAATATCGTAATCAGTGTTCTCAAAAACACATAAATACCGGGTTTCAAAACAATTGAATAACTTTCCGCAATTTATCTGTCTTACTGAAGATGGAAGAAGTTCACCGCTCGTGCTAGCAAAACGTTAGGAAGCAACTCTAACCAATAACTGCTTTTAGACCCGAATAAAAACAGCATTAGTTTACCAATTGGACGCGAAAGCCTTTACTAATATATCACACTTTCATCTTTTGGTCAACTTTTTTATTTTATGACCACTATGCATCACGATCATCATCAAAATCAACAGTTGAACTGTTATTCTATTAAGCATATTATTCTACTGAGAATGTAAATTGAATGAAACCTACGGTTTTAAAAACACCCTCCCTAGTGTCAGCGGAATGTTTAAAGGAAGTGTTTATTATTAGGAAACAAAATCAAGTTTTCTTTTAGAAAATACTACAAATGGCGCAGTAAACGCCATCTGTAGCACGATACTACATTTTAGGATTACGTGTGCTCCAACAAGGTCCACTTGTGTGGATATCTACTTGCTGAAAACGAATCCCGGCGGAGCATACGTAATCCTAAAATGTACCATCGTGCTACAGATGGCGTTTACTGTGCCATTTGTAGTATTTTCTAAAACGCACTGTTAAGACAGCAGCTAAAAGTTGGTCTGTGATCTGCCGGGCTGCCTGCGACGTGCTGATGAGATCCAAAAAGATCGAAATCGCCATCCGCGTCTGGCAGTTTCGACAGAACACAGACCACTTCCAATTATTTTATTCAAGTTTTCTTTTGTTACAACATCCGAAATCGCTTAGTAAATCTTTAAATAGTTCTTGATTAAAAGGCATTAAAACAAAAAACTTTTGGGTGTTTCATTTCCACCAGCCAGTAATGCTGGTGGGCGGGCAGTCACTCCGGACTATGCCGGAAGGTAGGGTGGAAGGCCCTCTTCAGCCTCCTTTCAGGAATCGTGGGAATGGGCATGTCTAAAAAGTCTTTGTTCCACCGTTAAGGCTTTTGATAACTGGTATTCGATTGTTGGCCCTTTATTAACTCCAGATCCGTATTTGCGTTTATATTAAATCAAATATGGGTTTCCCGTAATATCTAAGTTATTCATTGGCCCTTGATTAAGGCAAGGAATCCTTCAAGTAGAGTTGTTACTTTAGCTAACTGAACCACTCTGTGTTTTAGCATTTGCCCGCTATATTGCTCGCCATTTGCTCCCTCGTTGACTACCATCAGTGCTGCTTTTGTCTTTTTTGGAACACTGCCAAATCGGCTTGTAATTTGAAATTTACTTCTTTCTTCCAGGTAATCAACCTTTGTCCCTTAGTCTTGATCATACCGACATTCCTTATATTGAAGACAGTGCGGGCTGGGGTTATAATTCCGAAGGACCGCGTCAAATGCACCCGTTGAGAAGGGCTACGGATTTGACGAGAAATCGACAAGGTTCTGTAGGAAGTGATTCTTCTGTAGGATCGCAAATACAGGTCATCAACAACAGAGTGGTTCAGGGGTATGATTCGGCTTTGGGGTCTTCTGTTACTATTAGTAGCCCGCCCCACTATACCACCCCTTCTTCGGTAGGAAGCAGTATTGCTGAAGCAGGTATGCAATACTTCATTCTTCTTTATAGTTTAGAGCAGCGATTCCCTATTGGTGTTCCGTGGAAGAGTGAGAGGGGTTCTGTGAGATATGGCGTTTTTTGTTCTAATAAAAATGTACAGGTCTGACGATGGAAGCTGGCGAGCGGTCGCGCAGGTATTTGCCATTTATGACCTATTTGGGTAAGTCACTTGGAACCGATACACAAATAAACTTTCAGTAGGCGTAAATTATAGTATTAATACAGACAGGACAGTAGCATACTAGAAAATAATGTAAAAACATGACATCAAAAAGAGAAAATTAACCTATTGCTTTTGTTTTATAGTTAGTTTTCACATTCACTCTCATCATGGGAATCTCTTTCACTGTCAGCAACATCAACGATTAGTTCTTCTGTTTGTCTGTCTATTACTTGCTCACTGATCCCTATTTTTAAATATTTAATCTACGCCCCTGATAGGAATACTGAAGAATGAGAGCTGCAATCGTTATACCTAAAACTGCCTACTTTTGCCACCGCGCATCCACGCCATTTTAAAATTTCCGCCAGCTTCCAGCGTCAGGCCTGTACAAAATTCTGGGAAAAGCAACCATTCTGTTTTTAGCCATAACAATAGTATATTTTTCATGATCAAATCAGTAATAAAACGCAAAATCCTAACGGTTCATTCTATGATAGGAACCAGTACCACTATTTTTGTGAAAGAAAGATACCTAGATGCTAGATAAAAGGATAGGATATTCGAAATTTCGGTCTTATGTTGTCTTATTATAAATTGGATGCAATTATTCATTGGTTCATTCCCATTTTCTCCATTACTTTGTGAATTTATTTATTAACATTATTATATGCGCGCATACAAAGCAGTGTGACTCAATTATTTATTTAGAATTAACCGCAATTTTTAAATATGGCTACTGAATGTCATTAGTAACAGATGCATTGCAGTCAAGACTTCTTAATGAACCATGTAAAGATATGGCATGTTAACATAAATCACGACTTACAGGGTTTGTCCGGAAAGTAATAGGACTGAGTCGATTTAAAAAAATTTATTATGTTTCTGGCGTCTGACCAAGTGCTTCAGCAGCTGAATGAGAATATCTGTTACTATATNGTTTTGCGTCCGCAATGAGGACGGGCTTGTCAGGGATACTAATAATTAATTATTATGATTAGTATGCTTACATTTGCAAATGACATAGCAATATTAACATTTAAATAAAATAGAAGCGAAATTGACAAAATCGTATTGTATGAAAATAAATAAAAGTAAAAGAAAAATACTGGTAAGTAAAGGGGAAAAGGCAGGGAAAGAGTGAATATAAAGGTTGGAGACGAAAAATTAGACGAAGTGGCTGATTTTAAGTGTCTAGGAAGTCAGATAAGTCAGAACGGGAGGAGTAGTACGGATATAAAGCAGAGGATAACGCAGGATCGAGTCGCCTTCCAATAAAAAGAAATCACTTCTATGCTCGCGAACAGTTAATTTAGAAATTCTAAAAAGGTTGTTAAAGGTATATTTTTGGAGAGCCGCCTGCGGAAAAGAATGGGTTAGAAACGTTCGAAATGTGGTGTTATATGCGAATGATGAGGATAACGTGGATAGAGGTTTGAAATGAAGAGATATTAGAAAGAATAAGATAACGGAGGACTCTATGAAAGTGAATAAGAAAAAGGCGAGATAGGTTGATAGGACACCTTCTCAGGCATGAAGGTCTAGTCAGAGACGTATTACAGGCAGAAGCAATAGTTAAGAGGAATAGAGGTAGACCTAGATTAGATTACTGTTCGTAAATAGTTAAGTATGTGTGTTGTTCTACGTCTGGGAAAATTCGAAGATTAGCTCAGAATAGGAAAGAGGGGAGGTGCGTGTCCAACATGTCTTAGGATTGACGGACTTTATGATGATAAAATAATAGATCATCGCATTCATCTCAATTCAGTGTATTCCATCTATTATTTGCGGAACTGCTCAGCGGTATCATTACATAAACACTAGACTAGCCTCCCTTACAAATGCTTTTTGGCAAACAATTTAAAAAAGGAGTATGACAACCTGGTAATCTACTGTATGATTGAAGCTTACATGTTAGATGAAAAAAAAAACAGATCTATCGGTTTACTATCGACATCAGTAATTGCGCAAAAGGTTTTGTAAAAAAGTGTCCGATGAAAAAAATCCGCCGTGTGTGCAACCGACCTTATTTGCTAGAATAATATAGGCAATGCATACGTTTTGAATTCTAATAGAAGCTCCTTCAAGTTAACAGTATCTGAGCCTGGATTTTTAAAAAATCTTTTAAAACTTTTGGGTGTTTTATTCCCGCTAGCTATTATCTGGGCGGAAGGGAGGGCAGAAAGTCCCAGATGGATGGCGGTGGGTGTAAGAAACATACCGAGCGACATGGCCTAGAGGTCTAGACCATTGCTTAGCATTCGGGAGGACGCCGGTTCGATTCCGGGTCCGTCTGCCTTGGTCCAAGTTTTTCTGTGGTTTCCTTGGATCACTTAGGCAAATGCTGAGGCAGTAATATTCCACAGATA